ATAAAGCCATAATAAAAAATAATAAAGTTTACCAATATGATAATGTAGCATGAGGTTTTTATAGACTCCATGCAAATGTTAAAATCTATAAATTTTTTATATTGTGTAAAATTGTAAAAAACAGCAACGAAGGGGGAAGGGAAAGGAAAAAAGCAGCAGTGTCAGGTTGGCTTAATCATGAAACTTTCAGATTTCTTTTTAGAATCTGAAAAAAAAGTGTATAAATATATACATATTAAATTGTTTCAAGCCTATCTTATTGACTAGATTAAAGGTAAAATGAAGAAGGAAAACTCTGTCTTTGCACTTTCCAACCCACAGTATTGGTAAGTGAAGAAACTCTAAAGCATAATCACCTCTCTCCTTGCCTCTCTTTGCTTACACCTAGTACCCTGCACATACTTTACCCTTATTTTTCCAATTATGCTTTTCTTTATTTGCCTTATTTTTATTTATTTGGGATGTAAGAGAAGGTAGCAGGGTATGCAAATGTGGGGAGAAGAGAAGAGAAGAGAAGAGAAGAGAAGAGAAGAGAAGAGAAGAGAAGAGAAGAGAAGAGAAAAGAAGAGAAGATCCTCCATTTTCTTTTTGTTGCATCATCCTTCACACCACACTGGTAGGATATAAATTTAAAACTTTCATTCCCTTGTAGACTAATAATAACTTATTTGATAATACTATTCCAATATTTAATATTTCTTCTGACAGCAGATTGCACAAGGCATATGCAATTTGATTTAAATAAAACTCTCATAAATATTTTTTTTTTAAATAAAGGAGAAGAGAGGAAGAAGTATGAATTTCTGGAACAGGTTTAAACCAGGTACAAAAAAAGTCCATCTTTTTGGAAACTCAACACTGAGTAGTTTTCTTGTATTGTGTTGGTCTAGAGACAGCACAATAAAATGTACCTGATATACTCTAGAACATGCTGACTTGTAAAATAACGGGGTACTTACTGTCCTCTCATGATGGAGCTGCTTCCACTTAATTGACAGGAAGCTTGTCACTGACAAAAACATCCCGGATGCTATGTCTGTAATCAAGATTCCTGTTGGATTTCCATAAAAGGAGGAGAGGAAGTAGAAAGGATACAAAGCTACACTGTGATAAAATAAGGAATTGCCTGAGTGGCTGCACTTCTGAAATGTGAAGTCTCTTTCTTCTGTAAACCTAAAACTTTGTTTTCAAAGTTGTGTGGGTCTTTAAAACAGCAGGGAAAGACCAGATGAGATGGAGCTTTGAGCAACCAACCTTGTTTTGGTGGTGGGTGACTCTGTCCATGGCAGAGGGGTTCGAAGAAGATGATCTTTAATATCTCGTCAAACCCTAACCACTCTATGATTCCATGACAGCATGAGATTAGAGGAAGAGATGCTCAGGTGAACATAAAAATACCCTCACAATATCACAGAATAGTCTGAGTTGGAAGGGATCCACAAGGATCATTGAGTCTGACTTTTAAGTGAATGGCCTATGCAGGGATCGAACCCATCACCTCGGCATTATTAGCTCCCTGCTTTAATCAACTGAGCCAACCTCAGGGCTCATAAGAACATAAAAACACAAGTTGCAGTATTATCTGAAACATTTAAGAACAATCACAGATTTAATTTCTTGATCTGACACTCTACCTCCACTGCCATTATTCCACATTTTTTGTCAAAAAAAAAAAGTATGGGCCTTTCTGACCCTTTACAATAGCCTGACATTTTAAGGTGGCTCCAACCTATCTGTTGAGTGCTGGAGAACATGAAGATGCTGAGAATACCACTATGCAGTTATCAAGCAGACTGTGCAGCACATTATGTGCAGAAACATGGAAGGTGGTCAGAGCACAGGAGAGACCACAAGATCCTTACAGTGTCTGTATCTGGTTCAGAAAGCACTTTCTGCTCATTCCCTTCTAGCATGCAGGAAGTGCAGAGTTTCTTACAGTTTGCCAGCTTCTTTTGATCATTCAAAACAGGCTTTTCCACTGTCATGGCTCTTCTAGTGGTACCTGCTTGGAAGAGATCTCACTTCCCATGGGCATGAGAAGCACATGGAGCTCCTGAGGAACATAGTCATTCACCACATCCTGCCTTACTGTCCTGCTGAAGTCTTGGCTGGCATTTTGTTACAGAAGCAGATGTCTCTGGGTTTTAGGGGCTACACTGTCCCAAATAAAGCCCAAAGCAGGAGTCATGTCCCCGTGTCTTTTTCTTTAGACATATCACTCCCACAAATAGGAATTTTCCATCTGAGACAAACAGGACCTAGCAATCCAAGCTGCCTCTGAGGAGTGGTAGCACACTCTTGAGGCAAAAGAAGAACCAACAGTGGTGCTGGGCTACCACCAGAATACAACTGATAGACTGGCCCAAGCTCTGGGGTAGGCCAGCCCTAACCACCTCATTTTGAGTGTCACAGACAGATATACACTTTAAAGGGGCTTGCTTTCCACACCCAGTTTCCAGAGTCAACTAATTTGTGTATTTATTGGCCAATTATTTCCCCTGATGGAGCTCCAGCATGCCCGTGCTTGGCCACTACACTTGTGTGGTTCCTCTGAAAACTGATTAAATGAACGAAGTCATCTGGTTTTGGACCACATGGCCATCATCTTCCACAGTCACAATCCACATTGTTCTGGGATATTACTACTGCTAATCATCTAATGTCCCTTGGGATATATGGTAACTGGATAGGCTGTAAAGATTAGCCATATCTAACAAATAAATCCTAATGTAATTGTGCGGCCCCCACTGAATGGTTCTGGAAGACCATAAAACCACAGAAAGGTTTGGGTTGGAAGGGACCATTAAAGACCATGTCATCCAACTTTCCTTCAGTGGGCAGGGATATCTCTTGCTAGATCAGGTTTCTCAAGATGGAAAGCAAGACATCTTGAAACAGTCTGCAGTGTTCTACCACATTTTTACACATTGACCACAGCTTCCTGCAGGAATCTGAGCCTAATCTGCAGCGGCCAGGCTCCGTGCAGTCAGCCTCAGGCTTGAGGTGGTCCAACCTGCCTGCCATGAAGCAGCAGGACTGGGGCTGCTCTGCAAGGGACGACAGTGGAAAGGCAGGGGAGATCACATCACAGGACAGTGACCTCACCAACCAGGGCACAAGCAGGGCAGCCTGGTGACAGTAGCAGCTGTTGACAGTCACAGTGATCACCAGGTAAATGTGAGATGGCAGGTCATGTCCAAGTGGAATGCATGAAATTCAGTGAACAGAAGCTGCAGTATATAGGACTAGGCACAAGCCTGCCAGCAGCACAGCTCAGGAAAGGGCTGGAGGCCAAGGATGGAGCAGAAATGGAGCTACCCCTGCAGCTATGTTGGCAAGTGTGCTCCGGTGTGTCTCTTAAGGCTCCAGGTTAACTCCAGGGCAACTGGAGAGAGGAGAATGTAACACAGACTAAGCAAGCACAGGAATTGGCCCCAGCCACCTTGTACCTTCTAAATGGAACTTAAAACCAAGGCCAAATCATGTCTTGAGGGTGTTTATCTGACCACAGATAGTTTTCACCATCTCTTCTGGTCCTTCAGTCATCCATTGCCACACCCATGATGAAAAAGTTGCACAAAGATTTAGGAAAACGTTGAAGGGTGGGAAAGGAGCAGAAATGGAGGAACAGACTACAAAGAGTATAGATTCAGGCTTGCCAGTTTTTCTGATTGAACAGAAATGTAGGAAATGGGGCCTGTGAGACCATCTGCTCTCACTCTGTAACGAATAAAAATTAAGAGCATTCCAACTTCTTGATTAAAGCCAAGGACAAACTTTGTTTGTGGATTTTTGTTTTACTTCAAATAAAAGCCTTATAAGTATACTGAGACCTGGGGTTTGGTCCTAAGCAGCAAAAAGAATGATCTCTCTGCTGTGAAGTACTAATGTGGAAATACCTGAAACGACCTTAAATAGAAATTGCAGAATTTAGACTACAAATTATATTTCATACCACACTACAAATTGTATTTTATATTTTTTCATTGGATCTATTTGCACACTTAAAATTCAATGGCATGGGTTATGTGTGTTATAACCAAACAGAATTATCAACTAATAAAGATGCATTAGAAGAGAGGTAGCTGAACAAAAAATAGATTCCTTTCCCCAGACCAGCTTGGGAAAAAAATCACAGTACTGTCACATGTGCACTCACTGCATTAGGAAAACATAAAGTTACCACTAAATTAGGCAAAATAAAATGACTTTATTGCCTTATCCAGATTAAGACCTTCTTTAAAAGTGTGATGCCCTTTAAAATGAAATGTTAAATATAGGGAAAACTGTTTAAGTGTCTACAAACCACAAATTCCCAAAGTAAAATTACATCTAGCATTGCAGGTAACTAACAGAGATTTCAGCACTATCCTCTTTGCCTGAGGTAGTCTGATATCCTCAGTGTTATTCTAGTCCCACTTCCACCTGCTCACATACCTGTATGCTTTTCTGACACCCAGTGTGACTACATAATGCAACTGGACAAGCACAGTAAAAGGTCTATCATTTAAAAATCGTATCATTCATATTCCTAACACTGCTGGGTTTTTGACACATGCAGTTGGTTGGACTCTGCAGCAATTCCTCCCATACTTCAGCTGAGACAGCCCATTTACTTCCAAATTACTGATGACCATTTAAAATACATAAAAATAAGGCTGTGCTTGTTTTATCTGGACAAATCCAAATCTTGTAAATTGAATCAGCCATTCCATACAGTATGAAATAAAACACGCAGTAATTGTCCTAGTAAGTTACTGCCATTTAACAATGCATTTTTCCAAGGCACAGTACACAAAAGAACTCCTGCAATGGCAGATCAGTCTACCCACATGAAAATTTTAACCTTTTAATGACACAGTGGGACACATTTTGCTCCTTCTATGTGTTAAGTGACATAAGGCAGCACAAGAAGCAAAACAAGGACATTCAGGTATCTCTAATTCTTCATTAGTCACAATGAATACTAGTCCCCTACACAAATGAGAGACACGATGTTGTAAAATAAAACACAGGAATATAATTTTATTCTGTTAATCTGCGTATGTATTGGTACAGTTGTTCTGAGAAAGCTTCTGAAGAAAATTTTTCCATAACTCTCACTCTCCCAGCTGCTCCCATTGTGTCCTTTAAGAGAGGATCTCTCACAATTTTTTCCATAGCATCAGCGAATTGGGTTGGCAGAGGATCACACAAAAATCCTGTAACATTATGTGAGATTGATTCTAAAGGACCACCCGAATTAACTGCTATAACTGGACATCTCATATACATTGCCTCCAAAGGGACAATGCCAAAATGTTCATTGCTTGGTGTATAAAGCACACATACAGAGTTACTAAAAAGAGAAATTTTCTGTTCATCCGAGAATGATCTCAGAAAAGTCACATGGTCATTAACACCAAGTTTGGCTGCGAGTTTCCTCAGCTCTTCATAATGCTCCACGTTTTCCAGAACTCGCTTATCATAACCACCTGCCATAACCAGGTGAACTTCATCCCACTCGTGAGAATCCAGTCTCCCTTGAAGTTCGTGCAAAGCTTCAAGAGCCAATGCTAGGTTCTTTTTTCTCTCATACCTATTAATGGAAAGAAACAAGAACTTCTTCTTTTTCGGTATCAGATCAGCTATGTCTGCAGGAACAATTTCTTCAAAGCTACTGATGTTGAGTGATGGGTAGAGGACATCTGGGTTTATGTGAGATAGGGACTTAAATGTGTCTTTGAACACGCTGGCAGTGAACTTGCTGTTCACAACGATGCAGTCTGCCATGCCAGTCGTGTACTCTTCCAGCCAGTCGAGTGGCAATCTGTAGAGGCGCTTCAGCAAGGATTCTCTCTTGGTCAGAAGTTGATCGGGAAAGTGACAGTAAAACAAAACCTTCTTTCGGGTTCTGGCCAGTCTAAGTACAGGAATGCAGGCAGACACCTAGTGCAACCAGAGAGATGGGACAAGAGGAGAGGTTAATTATTTGTGTCAGTGCCACCAGTGTGTACATGTGATTTCAAAGTCATGCTCTGAGAGCCACTGCTTTGCAAGCCAACTGCCTTCTCCCTCTTCCCCCACACAAGCACATCAAGTTGTACTCCCTAATCCAGGACCTCTCGTTGCCCTATAATTTCTCCCTGCTCCCCACCAAGGTCCCTTCAAGTCCGAGGATTTCTCCAAACATCTCCTTCTGCCACTACCAGGGGTGCTGGGAGCAGAGTCCAAGTGACAGTGGCATCCTCTCCCTTTGGCTGCCTCAGAATGTAAGAGGGAAATTGCAAAATGTGGAATATGTCAAAATTATCTAAAGTCAGGGTGTGCTTTGATGTAAGATCTTTGTATACTTCCAAGCCTAATCATCAGGAAAGAAGACCTAAGCAGTGGAACTGACAGCAGCTAGCATCTCTTAGTCAACAACATCCTGGAACTAATAAGCCTTAAGGATGTAGTAAATCAAGATGCTGATTTATGTCTATGTATACATTGCTAGCTTGGCAAAATACTCAAGGTCTATCTATCCTATAGTTAAACTATGTTCATAACACTAAAAAACACACCTACAGGTCAGAAAGACCCCTGCTCAGGTGAAGACCATTTCCCTAAGCAAGTGCAGAAGTTAAATGGGGTTATGTAACTTGTATGGGATCACAGAATCAATCAGGTTGGAAAAGAGATCACTGAGTCCAAACGATGACCCCACACCACTGTGCCAACTAAACCATGGCATAAAGGGCCACATCCAGTCTTTCCTTAAATATATCCACGGACAGCGACTCCATCACCTCCTTGGGCAGTCCATTCCTATATATCATCACCTTCTCGGAAGAAATTCTTCCTAATGCCCCCAGCTAAGTCTCCCCTGGTGCAGCTTAAGACTATGTTTTCTCATGCTGTCACTGGCTGTCAGGGATACCAATCCCCACCTGCTAGAACATCTTTCAGGCAGTTGTAGAGGGCGATATGGTCCTCCTGAGCCTCCTTTTCTCCCAGCTAAACATCCCAGCTCCCTCAGTCACTCCTCATAAGACTTGTGCTCCAGATCCTCGCCCAGCTTCACTTCCCTTCTCCTGAAATTATTAACTAATCATAACATTATGAAGGCCTACACTTGGGAAGTTACTAACTCTGAATTTCTGTGTATAAAAGATGACACAGAAAGCCTGATGGGGTGTCCTTCATTTGTGGAACACCGGGGAGCAGACAGACTTGCTCTGAAATGAACAATCGATACTGTGTGTCATTATTAGCTTGTTGCACGCCACATAATGAATCAGATTTTGTGGGGATTTGATACTCCAAGACTCTGGAGAATCTCTTTTATGAGAGATTGCAGAAATTGGGCCAGTTTAGTCTACAGAAGAGAAGACTAGGAGGGGATCTTATTAATTCATATAAATATCTTAAAGGTGTCAAGAGGATGGCGCTAGATTCTTTTTAATGGTGCCCAGTGACAGGTCGAGGAGCAGTGGCCATAAACTAAAACACGAGAGAACTTCAACATCCCCATGAAGAAGAACTTCTTTACATTGAGGGTGGCAGAGCACTGGAACAGGCTGTCAGGGAAGTCGTGGAGTCCCTGGAGACATTCCAAACACATCTGGGCGCGTTTCTGCATCACCTGCTCTAGGTGACCCTGCCTTGGCACGGGGCTTGGAGTAGATGATCACCAGAGGTCCCTTCCAACTCCAACAATTCTGTGAAGAGCAGCCCACCAGCATCCCGGCAGCGGCGCTCCCGTCCCCATGCCCACGGCCCTGTCCGTGCCCGCACCTGGTCGCACACGAAGGCGTCGAAGCTCTCCCCGCTGAGCAGCAGCACGTAGAGCGCCACGAAGGCCATGCGCAGGGCGGCGCACAGGGCGTGCCCGCGGCCGCACAGGCTGCGCGGGAGCCAGCCGCCCGCCCGCCGCACCGCCAGCCCGCGCGTCTCCGCGAAGCAGCGCCCGGGGTCGTAGTGCGCCGTCCAGATCTGCACCCGGCAGCCCCGCGCCCGCAGCGCCAGCGCCGCGTCCACCACCAGCCGCTCCGCGCCGCCCAGGCCTAGGTCCGGGTGCAGGAATAGCACGGACGGACCCGCTGCTCCCGCCTCCTCCGCCTCCTCCATGGTCGCTGCCGCGCGGTCGCATGCGCAGCCCCGCAGCCCCAGCGGGACACGTCAGCCTTCCTTCCCTTCCTCCCGGGCCTTCCCTCTCGCCCCGCCCGCCGGGCGGCCCCGCTGCCGCCCGACGCGCCGCTCCCCGCGGTCCCGAGCCGGCCCGGCCGCTGCGCAAGGAGCGGCCGCGACGGAGTTGTCCCGGGGGGCAGCGGTCTCGGAAGGCGGCCGCCGGGCGAGGGGTGAGGGGATAAGGGGCCGGTGCTGCTCAGGCATTATCCGGGGAAGCCCCGCGGCCCGGGATGCGCGGCGTGGGGGCGGAGCCTGACGCGGGCACGGACGTGGCCGGAGCGGCTGCAGCGGAGCGTGTGTGAGAGCGCACCGAGCCTGAGCCAGCGTCGCCGCCATGGTGAGTGAGGGGCTGCCCGGGGCGGCGGGCGGCTGAGGCGCCCCTTCCCCGCCGGCAGTGCCCGCCGCCTCTCACCCTCTCCCGCTTCTCTCCTCTCTCTGCAGCCCGGGCCCAACCCCAGCGCCACCAGCGTCGGCTCCTCCGGGCGCTCCCCCAGCAAGGCTGTGGCTCCCCGCGCCGCGGGATCCACCGTCCGGCAGAGGTGGGTGCTGGCCGCGCCTCCCCAGCGGGAGCAGCTCTTGCCCCCGCCGTGCGCTCTGCTTGCCCCGGGCTGGTGCCCTCTGCTGACGTGGCAGCACGGCTAATGCCAGCCCAGAGAAAGGCCACGCTGCTGGGGAAGGGTGTGCAGCACAAGTGCTGTGAGGAGTGGCTGAGGGAGCTGGGGGTATTTAGCCTGCAGAAAAAGAAGCTCCAAGATGACCTTATCTTCTCTACAGCCCCCTGAAAGGAGGGTGTAGCCAGGTCTGTGCCTTCTCCCAGGCAGCAAGTGACAGGATAGGAGAGCACAAATCTTAGGCTGCGCCAGGGGATGTTTAGCTTGGACATCAGGAGGAAGAGGCAATTAGGCATTGGAACGGGCTGCCCAGGGAGGTGGTGGAGTCACTGTCCCTGTAGGTGTTTAAGGAAAGATTGGAAATGGCACTCAGTGCCATGGTCTAGTTGACATGGTAGTGCAGGGTCATAGGTTGGACTCAATGATCTTAGAGGTCTTTCCCAACCTAATTGGTTCTCTGAAGTGTATTGTTTCTGCAGAGACTCCTGCACTGCTTGGTCCTCGAAGCTGGTGGAGTACTAATGTGTTGTTTGGTCTTTTGTTTCCTTCTGTCATCCCTTAAAGGAAAAATGCCAGCTGTGGGACAAGGAGTGCAGGCCGTGCCACGTCCACAGGGACTGGTGGGATGTGGCGGTTCTACACTGAGGACTCTCCAGGGCTCAAAGTGTAAGTTGGGTTAATGGGTGGTGGCACGCTTGAGGGCTTCAGAGCTCCCCTGCTTACATAGTCTTGCACTCTTCGAATTAATAATCATCTGTCAGTGTTTTGGTGTGCATGGGAAAACTTGCTGAGTTGGTGGTTGAGATGACAACGACCATAACATTTAATCTGCAGCCTCGGAGAGGTAGTTTTTTAAGTTACAGTGTTTTTAAAAAGGTAGGTACAAGCTGTATTTTGTATTTGCCAAAGTTTATCCAAAGCGGTCTTTGAAGGCTGTGAGCAATCATTTTGAGGTTGAGAGAGATCACTTGTCTCAATTAATTTAAGCATCTGTATGCATATTTTAATTCTCTTTTAAGTAAAAAAATTGGGTTTTGTCTTATAGTAGCTATGTTATGATCCTTTGCACCCCTTGAAAACACATTGTAACTGATACAGCATATGCTTGCATCAGGTGTTTTTATTAAAAAGCTGCAGACAAATTACTGTAGCTGAACTTGCCTAGCAAATAGCATGCCAATACCTTGTATATCTCCATTTTCACAAAGTGAACATTCCAAGATTATGGTTGAATACCTGGTAATGTTCCTTAAACTATAAAGAGAACCTAAGTTCTTTACTCTTTTGACCAGTTTGAGCCCTTGAGATGACTTTCCAAACAAACTTTACAGCCTAATACTTGGCTAAGAAAGGTGGACGGTGTATTTGAGCTGATGAGTGTGTGCTGTTATATCCTGAGTGGAAATTTGTGCTTATTGTAGAATTACAGTTTATGAGCTCTTGTTCTTACTGGGTTGAAAAGTCTTGAGATGCTCAGGGCTGACCTTCTTGCTTGTTTATTTTTTTCTCAAATCCATTAATACCTTCTTTTGAAGTTCAAGGGGGCTGCTTCTAGCTGCACAAATAAAACATTTGGTGAAGGGCTGGTGATAGTTCCATGAGTAATCCTTCCTTTGAAGTTGTCTTATGTGTTTTCATTTTCATATGTACTTGAAACTTTAAAAAACAAAATGTATCCAGCAAACCACCAAAGTAGTACTGTTCTGCCTTGCTTACTCCATTCTGAGTCCAGAAAGGAGACAAAGGCAAGGAAAGACAATGAGCAGCAATAGTGTTGTAGAGCAAATCTATGCAGATAGGCAGGGCAACTGTTTTCTCTGTTGTTTGGTCTACTAAAGTTCAATTTTTAAAATTAATTACACTAAACAGAAAAAAAAGGATTATGAAAGAGGATTATGGTTTTTTTTTTAATAGACTTCTGATACAAGCTTTAACAATTTTGCTAAATTGTTTCTTTGTGAATTCTTTGATTTCACTTTTGGCGCAGAATGACCACTTTGTTGTTTTCATCTTCAGTGCAAGCAGATCAGTAGACAGATTTTTCCATCTATTTGTGTTGCAACACAGTGGTTCCCGATTTTAGGGATTTGGAGCCCTGGGAGTGGTTTTTTTGGAAGCTGCTTTGGGTAACTGTTCAAGCTTTTAATGAAAGAACCAAATCTATATGAGTGAGTTGCTTTTACGAATCACCCCACACTAGATGTAACATTTTCTGAGCCATGGCTTGGTAGCAACTTTCTTGCTTATGGCTTTCTAGGTATTTATCTTCAGATTTTTTTTCCATTTCAACCGGTTGTTATTATTTCTGTCCCATTTAGTAGGCTTTAAAGTGAGAATGGGATATCAAGGGCTTGTGATTGCCTCAGTGAAGTGCTTCGGCTGAAGTTGTTTTTAGAAATGGTTGTGATCCCATAGAGCAATGGGAAAGCTTAGCCTGGTAGTGGTGGTGCGTGGGCTTTTTTGGTGTTTTTTCATATTGTTTAAAATGCAAGCTCTTAAAATTACTATGAAAAAATACGTAAAACTATCTGAGAACAGGTTAATTCATACTAGCTGCAATGAGGGAAATTTTGCTCTAGATAAAAAAGTTTATATATTTTATATTGTGTGGAATTAGATTGATGCTTTGGGTATTTTGTATCTGTATTCAACATCCAAAATAATATATATGTTGAATAGGCAAGTTGGTTCCCCTCAAGAAAGATCCTTTATTTGCATTACAAGATGCTTCAATATGTGTGTACCTTTAAAAACAACTATTAGCAAAACGGAGTTGTGGGGGATTTGGCTGAGAGGGAATATGATATTTTTCTTTTTAAAGCTTGGAGATTGCATGCTTTGAAAAGAAAACTAAACCCAAACTTTTTCGTCTTTTTGGGTCACTTGGTACCTGTGGTTCCTGTGTTTTGTCTTGGGCTTTCCTGCTTAAAGAGCTATAGGCAGCTTTCCTGTGGATGGAAAGTCAAATTGAGCTTGTTGTACAATATGCAGCCTTATGAAAGACATTCTGAGAATGCACAATACCAAATCTTTAGAGGAGTCTGAATCCATTTATTTGTGCTGGGCTGCGAAGATGCAGGTGTGTGGAGGAGAATTGCAGGGTTTCAACAGGTCTTCTTTAGGTCTGGAGGAAATCAGATACATGTGTCAACACTGGAGAGCTGTTTATTCTCTAGGGGTTCAATGTCATCTGCATGTTTAAAAACCATTATCGCTCTCAGTCTATCAGTCCCCACTTTATTTCCATGTAGTTCTGTTCTGATTAGTGGTACTGCTTTGTTCCCATATGCTTTTGGCAGAGCAGCTTACCTATTCCTACTGCTAAAGGCTCAAATGAATTAAATAGTAATTCAGATACAGTGTAAGGACTATAAATTATGATTTATATTGTATAGGATATAAACTTACATGTATACATATATATAAATAAATAAACATTTAAAATAAATATATTTATTTATATGCATAAAATGCTGGGGTTTGAGAATTACATTCTGTTGTGTAGTGAAAGATACCCCTTGAAAGGGTAGCTTGTGTAGTCACCATGTATGCAGACTTTGTTTATTTTGTTATTGGTTTATTTGGTAAATACTTTATGTCTGTGTTCAGGATTCTCCATACCCAAATAAGTCTAAGTATGATAGATAATAATTAAGTTTTAAACTCAATATAAGATTACAGTTGTGACCATTTAAAGTGTGCAGATCATGATCTTACAGAAAAATATGACAGGAAACTCTCTGAATCCCTTTTCAGTTTCCTTTTTTTTTTCTTACTTCGTATTCAGGTAGTATTTACATGCTTGTAAACAGTACCATGGCAGGTAACACAGGCTGGATAACAGATTTCCCAATAGCATGTTGAAAATCAGAAATGAGATTGTATGAAGTGAGTGGTGTGAAGGAGTGTTGAGTGTGTATTCATTTAATTGTTGCATCTCAGAAGAGCATGAAACAGCTAATTGAAGCTATCAACATGCAACCTAATATTAACTTGTTTTTAAAATACATTACTATACAATTTCTAAACAATATATAAAGGTAAGAGGGAAAAAAATTCATTTTAGGTAAAGATTTAATGATGTAGCTTTGCCACTTTGTCTGTGTTTTTCAAGAAGGAAGTCCCTGTCTCTCACCCACTGCTGCCATTGTTTTCAAATGAAATAAAACCCCCAAACTAAAACAGCTAAAGAGAATTTTTTGCCAAAATTTCAGTAGCCGCTAGAGGACTCTGTTGGTTTTTGTATCGGACTTCATCTTTGCTTAGGTGGCTATCTGAGTTGTAAACACAGATGATACTTTTCCAGAGACTGTGGAAACAGTGATCCATAATAATGAACCATTAATGGCTTTTTTAACAAGTGGGGATTTTGTCACTCTGTTGTGCTTTTTAATGTAACATTT